TCTATCTATCTATCTATCTATCTATCTATCTGTATATCTGTCTGTCTGTCTGTCTGTCTATCTATCTGTCTGTCTGTCTATCTGTCTATCTGTCTGTCTATGTATCTCTCTGTCGATCTATCTATCTATCTATCTATCTATCTATCTATCTATCTATCTATCTATCTATCTATCTATCTATCTATCTATCTATCTATCTATCTATCTATCTGTCTGTCTGTCTGTCTGTCTGTCTGTCTGTCTGTCTGTCTATCTATCTATCTATCTATCTATCTATCTATCTATCTGTCTGTCTGTCTGTCTGTCTATCTATCTATCTATCTATCTATCTATCTATCTATCTATCTATCTATCTATCTATCGTATATCTGTCTGTCTGTCTGTCTATCCGTCTGTCTATGTATCTCTCTGTCTGTCTATCTATCTATCTATCTATCTATCTATCTATCTATCTATCTATCTATCTATCTATCTATCTATCTATCTATCTATCTATCTATCTCAGTCTATCTATCTATCTATCTATCTATCTATCTATCTATCTATCTATCTATCTATCTATCTATCTATCTATCTATCTATCTATCTATCTATCTATCCATCTATCTATCTATCTATCTATCTATATGTCTGTCTGTCTGTCTGTCTCTCTGTCTGTCTATCTATCTATCTATCTATCTATCTATCTATCTATCTATCTATCTATCTATCTATCTATCTATCTATCTATCTATCTATCTATCTATCGATCTATCTATCTATATGTCTGTCTGTCTGTCTGTCTGTCTGTCTATCTATCTATCTATCTATCTATCTATCTATCTATCTATCTATCTATCTATCTATCTATCTATCTATCTATCTGTCTATATGTCTGTCTGTCTGCTCTATCTATCTATCTATCTATCTATCTATCTATCTATCTATCTATCTATCTATCTATCTATCTATCTATCTATCTATCTATCTATCTATCTATCTATCTATCTATCTATCTATCTATCTATATGTCTGTCTGTCTGTCTGTCTCTCTGTCTGTCTGTCTGTCTATCTATCTATCTATCTATCTATCTATCTATCTATCTATCAATCGATCATGAAGTCTATACACTTGGTATAAAACAGTCGTTTTTCGAGGCGTGGTTTGTAAATGCATGCGTGTACGTTTCTGATTTACAAGAAAAAAGATCAAACGTATTGCGAGTCCTGGGACACTCTCCTGCCTCTCGTTCCCTTTCTAAAAGCCACCGTGCCTTAAACCGAGCTTTACAAGGAACAAAAACCAGACAAAAGCTATATCCTCATCACCACCTGAGAATAAACACACAACAGGCTCCTCAAAACACCATATAATAATAGGTTTATCAGTAATAATAATAGGTTTGTGAATCAGTTCCCAGCACTACAGCAGTGCTGCATTACAAAACAAATAACTGCTGTTTACTTTATTTAACTTTATTTAACTTTATTTAACGTTACATGATACTGTACGTCTTCAGTTTGGGGTGTTTTTTTTCTTTTTTCTTTTCTTTTTTTTTTTTACATAAAAACATGTACTTATAAAAATGTTAACAATTGATCAGAATACGTACAGAATTTTAACATCAGTTCATCTTTCAGTCAGTTTGTGCTCATTTTTAAAAACCACTCCTGTACATCACCTATTTGTTTACATAATGCGACACCTTTACAATGATCCAGCTGCATTCTACTTTATATAACGGAGAATGTGTTGCGAACGGAGTGGACTTTTAAAATTCAACATTTCTTCTGCTTTTAGCAAGCACCGATCCTTTAAACCGGGAGGATCTGCCGTCGCCATGTCCTCTTCACCACCGGCTTGTGAATGTGTCCTCACAACATGGCGGATTTGGGTGGAAAACAGCAACGAGGAAAAAAAGAGAAAAAAAAAAGAAGAAGAAGCATCTATTAGGCTAGTAATTGCGGCGTGATTAGCAGATGCCGAGCGCTTGGCATGGAGCTGCTTTTCCTCGAGTTTGGACGAAGTCAACCTACTGCTGCGTCCTGATACAATACAGCAGGCTGAACAGCCATACATCCTTCATGTCTTCGTCTGTCTGTCCTCTTCTCTTCTCTCTTCTCCTCTCCTCCTCTTCTATCAATCGTTCCCCTCCTCCTCCTCCTCCTCCTCCTCCTCCTCATCGCTGCTCCTCTGCTTGGCTGGATCAGGCCCAGCTGGCTTCATTACGCTCCCTCACTATTCCACATTCGGCTGTTTTTTTGTCTGTTGCACATTTCTCGACTGTTTTATCTCGAGCGCTGTCTGTCCTGCAAGCTCATAAATATTTCTCTGGCTTTCCTACATCACACACACACACACACACACACACACACACACACACACACACACACACACACACACACAGACTGGCTGCTATTGAAGGAACTCGTATACTCATTGTAATTTTTTTTAATTAATCTTTGTGTCATGTGATTTAAACCAGATTTAAACCAGAGCCAATGAGGTTTGGCGCTTATACAGTGTGTGTAAACACTTCTGATTGGTCGACGGCTCTCCAGCAGCGCCCCCAGGCAACGTATAAGCATTTTGGGTTTCGTTTCAATTATTAATCTCACCCCTCCCTAACATTAATCTAACAAAACAACCATATTTCCGTCAATTGCTTTTTTTTTTTTTTTAAACTGAATATTTCATTAATAATATTTGCTATTTTTATGCTCTGTAGCACAGGTATACACTCGGTAATGCATTGTGGGTTGAGATGGCATCTGACAGCTATGTTGGGTTGTGTGTGTGTGTGTGTGTGTGTGTGTGTGTGGTGGCAAAAACGGCAGCCAGATGGTTTCTGGAGACCCAGGGGAGGGGAACTGGGGCAGCGTTGGCACCGCTGGCACGCATAGTCTCATTCTGACCTCGCGCTCTCTCTCAAAGGGCAAGACACAAACCTAGTGTGTGTGTGGGTGTGTGAGAGAGCGAGAGAGAGAGAGGGAGAGAGAGAAAACAGCATGACCTGGGAAGGTACCAGAGCATGCCATACCGAGCCACTAACTCATACGATTATAGGATAAACAGAAGGATTATATGAAGCGTAGAGAGATGTCTCCACTCTCATCTTCTGTCCTCTAATATATCTATTTTGAAGTAAACATCATAGACGGGTCGTTTGTGTTCCAGAAAATTTAAGCTAGAAACAGCTTTTGATTCCAGCACGAGGTCTCCTCGCCGAACGATCTGATCCGCTGGGTTATTTATGGCGTGTCATTACTTATTTATTTGATTATTTTGTAAATTATTTATCTATTGAATTATTAATTCATCTTCATGACAAGCCTTGAATTATGGATGACTTAATTTGAGATTATTGCATTCAGATGCCACATTGTTGCCGGCTTGGCTCTCGTTTGAGCATCAAGGCACATGAAGAAATTAAATCTACCTCCCAGGCCAGTTTGTCTTCATTTGAAGCCAGCCAGAGACAGGTGACGACAAGGACACAGGAACTTGTGAGGAAAATGAAAAGAATCGTGTAGCTATTCATCAGAAAATTACCTCCACACGCCTGTGATCTTTGCTAGCCCTAATGACCTTTGCTTGCCCTTTATTATTTAGGTGTCTAAGTCATAAGTAACCTCTTCCTGCTAACAAAATGAAAGGAAGTAAAGAACTTGAAGATAATTGAAGTAGAGATACTGCTTAAAATCCTGCTACGTCTATGCTAGCAAGTGAGGACTGATTAGCAGCAAATCTGATTAGCTAGCTGGACTCTTGTTTATTAGCAGGGTTAATAAACGCTACATTTGAGCTATTGTAGCTTGTTTTTCCTATAAATTACCTTCTGTTTCTACACATTTAAGACTTTTACACATGTACACATACTTATACATATTCATTAAGTATTCATTAAGTTCTTAGAAATCGACATTTCATCCTTTATTTTTAAACTGCTCTTTAGGTTGGCATTTACATGCATCCAATGTCGAAAAACACTTTAACGCATAATTTAAACTGCAGCGTTACCCCCCAGTGTCACAAACGACTCGTTCAACGATCCGTTCTAAAGGATTTCTTCTAAACTCCTCCTTTCAGAGCGCATACTCGGCTCTGATTGGTCAGATTCTCAGTCTGTTGTGATTGGTCTACCGCTGTCAGAGTTTTTCAAAAAGGAAACGCGCACTCCCGTAACGAGTTTCAGCTCCGTCTGTCAGCGAGCAGCCGATGACGACCAGATTTTTGTTATACACCTACGTAGCTTAGTACAGGAAGTAAAGTCTGGAGTCACTAACGACTCGATTCAGCTGTTCAGAATCGATTCCTTCTTTTGTTTGATGGGCGCTTTGAAACTTTGCAGATGTTTTTAAATTCACAACCAACTCTGTAACACACTACATGAAAGGTAATATCTGAAAAACCATAATAGGTGCACTTTAAAAGACATAAAATGTGAATATTTTTGATGTGTTTAGTGAATCTGTTGCGTAATTCGGTATTTTTGTTATTCCTGTATTCTTAACAATTTTCTATCTATCTATCTATCTATCTATCTATCTATCTATCTATCTATCTATCTATCTATCTATCTATCTATCTATCTATCTATCTGTGAGAAATATATTGTGTGCTGCACTGATGTCACAGTTACAATGGTGTTTAGTAGGAGAAAATAATTTCAACTATTTCAAACATAAGTAATAATGGTGAGGTTTTGATGTTCTCTAAAACCTCAAATAAACTGAGTAAGAACTTCTTATCTCGCTCACCACTTTCCGCCGACCTTCAATGCCATATTAACGAGAGATCCGAAGTAGATGTAGTGGAGACATCTGTGCAAACGCTGGACTCAAGCTTCCAGTCCATGTGACGCAGATAGCATTCTACGAGACGAGTGCGATTTTATATTTACATTTATGACATTTGGCAGACGCCCTTATCCACAACGACTTACATTTATCTCGTTTATATTGTACAACTATGCAGCTGAGGGTTAAGGGCCTTGCTCAAGGGCCCAGCAGTGGCAGCTTGGCAGTGCTGGGATTTGAACTCACAACCTTCTGATAAGAAGTCTTAACCACTGAGCTACCACTGCCCCCTAGAGTGTACAGATGACAAGGTGGACAGATTAAAGGACTAAAGCGCTGCCGCATCGCTCTCTTTAGGTAGAGATGGAACAACAGGAAATAAAAGCTGAAAACCTAAACTCTGGTCTTGTATCCATGTTTTCATCTCAAACCCGGATGTATTTGGTGTATAGCACAAAAGAAAAGAACTGGCCTTGCCGTTCCGACAGCTTCAGAGGGGACTCTATAACGTAGCATGTGCTAGCTTTGCTCATAATAATTACACTAATAATAATCAGAGCTCACCATCACACCACTGACCATCCAAATATCTGAAGTCTTGCCCCTCTTTCCCCTCGGTGTGTAATACCCTTGGTTATACTGGCACTTAGTGTTGACATCAGATAATCATCTCACATCTGGCTGCGTCTCGATACCTCATTTAAAAACCCTCCACAATTCATTTAAAACATGCCCGCAGGCTGTTCATCATCACTTCCAGCACTATTTAAAACTTGTGAGATTGTCACGCCAATAAAAATGCACAAAGAACAGTAAAAGATGCGATGTATGGTAAACTGCGTTTCCTGTCTTCTCAGTTGCCCCATAATGAAGCATTCATTATGATTATTTTATAGGTTTGAAGTTTTTAAAAAACTACCCCGAATGCATTACTATGCATAATGAACAGCTGTTGTGGCAACAAGCACATACATTATGCATAAAAAATTATTTCACTTTTGATTGTAGATGCTGATTTATTGAGACAAGTCTAGCTTCCTACAGTAATGGATTTGGGATGCGCTTCTGCTGCGTTATTTCCATAATTAATAATAGGGAGGCAGTACATTATATATGCGTGCTGTTTATAAGTTGAAGTGTACTTGAGCCGTAGTAAACACAATGTTGCATTCGAGCTTCAATCCACAGCCAGTTAATTATGCACCAGACCATCCTCAAAGCTATAAATACATAAAACCCGTCATTCTGGTGAGCCTGGGCCTTTTCTTTATCAGTATTTAATGTTAGCGGACTGTATCTGTGCCATTAGATTTAAAAAAAAAAAATTTTTTTAAAGCCTCATTTTGTCTTGCTGCCTTCAAAAAAGTGAGAGATTGTATGCAAAAAAAAAAAAGGCCTCCATATGCTCTATAACGGCATGCAAGAAACTGAAGTAATAGTGTCGAATCCAAAAGTCTGAGTCCACTGCCAAGAGCTGTTTTATTTCATCATTTATCAAAAACTAATAGAAAATTGTGCTCAGTTGATATTAATTATTCAAGAATACATTATTTAAAACTAAGACAAGCCATTTTTAGCCGTCTGAGAAACTGTCATGAAATTAAAAAATGCTTGAATATACAGTAAGTCCTGTGTACCGAGAACTGTTTTTAAATAATTTTTTTTTTGGTCATCAAACGCTGTATGATTTATTACGAATATTTAGGGTGTCCCAGAATGAATTGCTCAGTCACTGAAACAATTAGCAGTCATAGTTGCCAGAAAACAAAACTTAATCTACTAAAGAAATCCATCCATCCATCCATCTTCTACCGCTTACTCCTTTTTAGGGTCACGGGGAACCTGGAGCCTATCCCAGGGAGCATCGGGCACAAGGCGGGGTACACCCTGGACAGGGTACCAGTCCATTGCAGGGCGACTAAAGAAATCTCTTTTTCCAAAATAAAGGTATCAAATGTACCATAAATCCACCTTTTTGTACTGTTCTCTACGTTCGGCTACACAAAGTTCTTACATTATAATTGCACATTATTCATTTCAATTCATTAATCAGTCCATCAATGCAAGGATGTGATATGACGTACTATGGCGCAATTAATAAACCAGATTTCGAATGTAAACTGAAAATGAATTTGGGGGAAAAAAAAGAACCTGAATTTCAAATGTAAACTGAAAGGGATCTAAAGGAATAAGCTGAACTTCTAATTTAGACTAAAAATGAATTGGAAAAAAATCAAATGGATTTCTGACAGTGATGTAAAAATAAACTGAATTTTAAATGTAAGCTACAAGTGATCTGTACAAATAAGTCGAACTTGAAATGTACACTGAACATCCATCCATCCATCCATCCATCTTCTACCGCTTACTCCTTTTCGGGGTCACGGGGAACCTGGAGCCTATCCCAGGGAGCATCGGGCACAAGGCGGGGTACACCCTGGACATGGTGTGCACCGAACATTAATTCAAATATAAAACTGAATTTCAAATGTAAACTGAAGTAATCTAAAAAAAAAAAACTAAAAAAAAAAACGTTTATATTAATTGCATTTTTTGTTGTTTATATGCTTTATGAAGTGCAGTTTCCAGTGTTACTCCAAAGACCAGCATTTCTTTATTAAACGTTTCAGTTTGTAAATACAGAAATTAAACGTCAGACATTCTAAAAAAAAATTTGAAAGCACTTTTGCTGTGTTTTGTGCTTAAATATTACCTTCTGCACAAAAAAACGCTTTTTTTTTTTTGGTTGTTGTTTTTTAAACGTGAAATATTTGACTTTGATATTACTTCTTTGACAGTCTGCAGTTCTAAACGGTGTGTTTTTATTGGCCGAAAGTCATGTGTATCATGTGTTAAAAGATGCCAACAGTTAACACCTTGTCTTCGAAGTGTGTGTGTGTGTGTGTGCGTGTGTGTGTGTGTGTGTGTGTGTGTGTGTGTTACCACTTCATAGAAATTGGTGTGCTAACAGTTTATTCAGATCTAGTGAAGCATTTTGAACACCCTGTAAAATTCCGAGAAATAGGTTCAAGATAAATAGTCAAGAATTATAGGTATAAGTGAACTAAAAAAGAATTTTTATTTTGGGTAATCTGTAATAAACATTATTATTATTTTTTTCAAAAACAGCCTTTTATATTTCATATATATTTCAGTTTTATAATAACCATTTCTCCAACAGCTAACAGTATTCTTTTGGACCCTACTGAAGGCCTTTGGATTGGAACCTGGATTTCCTGCTCAGCTCTCTGGTTGAATGCCACATGAGCTGGAGAGGATTTTGACTAGAATTAATGGACTGAAGACACGCCGTTGGGGAATTATTTATTTCTGGCCCCGAGGAAGGTTAGGAGCAAAATAAACAACTAATAAATCATTTGTGGTGCGGCTTTTTGTCACATTGTGTTAAACTACTGCACCTGACGGGTACTACTCTTTCAGTCCAGAGGACCAGAGTGACAGACTTCATCCACCATCTACCATCCTCATCCTCACATCATCCCAACTCTTCGTCCCTACACGTTTTCTTCATTCACCCAACCTCATCACCACTCTTTATCCTCACAGCTGATTGTGTTTTACCTGTGTGTTACACCTGACTCCTTAAAACCAACAACGTTCCTCATCCTCGTTTCACTCGGACTCATTGGCTTCATTTCGCTCTTTATCCTCACGTAACCTCACTCCTAATCCATATTTACTCAGCTGCTTCATCCTGACTTCACGGTAAATCTTCATCCACACGTAATTCTTGCTCACATCCTCATTCCCTCATCCTCATTTCATCCTGACGTTCTCCTCGTTCCTTATGCTCGGTCCTAATCCTCGCTTAATCCCCTACCTCATCCTCAATTCACGGCAAATCCTCATCCAGCATGATTCTCACTACATCCTCAGTCTTCATCCTCATTCCTCATCCTCACTTAAATTACTCCTAATCATCACTTACTTACCCATGTCATACTCATCTCATCCTCACTTCATCTTCATCCTCATTTAACCTCACTCCCTCACCTTCCTCATCCTCACGCCACTGCAAATCCTTATCCATATTCAGCCTCACTTCATCCTGAGACTTTATCCTCATTGCTCATCCTCACTCTACCTCACTCTTAATCCTTACTCACTCACTTAAGTCATCCTCAATTCAACCTGACTCTTCATCCTCATGCATCATTCTCGTTTAACCTCACTCCCGCACCTTCCTCCCCCTCACGTCACTGCAAATCTTTATCCACATTCAGCCTCACTTCATCCTGAGGACTTTATCCTCGTTGCTCATCCTCACATCAACCTCATTCGCACACCTGCCTCATTCTCACTTCATCCAGTGACTTCTCTCATTTCTCATCCTCGTTCAACCTCAATCCCAAGCCTTGCTCACTCACCCACATCCTCACTTCACTGCAAACCATCACCCACACTTTATCCTGAATCTTCATCCTTTTCCTCATCCTCACTCACACACCTGCCTCATCCTCCCTTCACCCTGACTCTTCATCCTTATCCTCATCCTCCCTCTACCCTGACTCGTTCTGACTTCACCGTGAGTTTTATCTACATTTACTCACCTCCCTCATCCTTACCCAACCTCTTTACTCCTCATTTATTCTCACTTCATCTATATTCTTCATCCTCAATCCTCATCCACTCAAGTTCATCATCTTTACTTTGTCCTCATCTTTCATTATCTTGTCTTCACTCCTACTTCAGATCCCTGTCCTACTTGTCCTCATTTCACCTCACCACTTTGTTCTCACATCGCTTCATCCTGACTTTTCCTCATCTCTCCCCACCCTCACTCAATAAACCTCCTCATCCTCCCTTTAACCCAACTCATTCCTCACAAAAATTCCTCAGTTCATTCTCACTCTTCATCAGTATTCCAGCTCAATGAAATGTCATCCTCACATTAGTCACATCCTCACCGTTTGTCCTCACACATGTATCCTGACATCTATTTTGTTCTTACATGTTCTCACAAACTCTTTCCCCTCACCTCTTGAATGAAAATTCCTCAAACTTCCTTCACCTCTCCTTTCTTTATTCACCAAATGCATCATTTTAAAGGAATATAACCTCCAAAAAAAACAACAACGACAGTCTCAACGGATAGACACGCACTTACACTAAAATTATCTTTCAGTGATTTCCTCAGTAAACAAATTCCCTGTTGTTTAACGTGGCAGCTCCATTTCACAGCCTTGTCACAGAAGCTGGAGGTAAAGCTCAGAAGGCATGCTGGATATTATTCCCTAGAGCACACTTTAGCTTCAGAATGGCTCAAG